CCTTTGATAGTTTATTTATTTTTATTTACAGTCCATCTGTATTATAATAAGAATCCTGGTGGGTGGACTCCTGGTTTATTAATAGACGCAAGGAGAAGGATGATACGGTGGTTAATAAACCCTAGAAGTCAACCCTCCCAGGGTGGGTATAATACAGATGGACTGTAATAACATAATCCAACACTGATCTCTGTAGTGAGAAGCACATTCTTGGACTCACCACTTGAGCTCAGAGCCTCCACCATGTCAGCTCTGTACTCGCTGTGCCTCCTCCTCCATAGCCCCCCTAAGAGCCAGTAGCAATTGGCGCACATTTCTCCACCCCAATATAAGTTTACGGGAAGAAAACACATTGTTGATCCAAAAACAATGTGTTTCTGATTAAGGCGGTGGGAGAATGGCAAAAAGAATATAATGGATCGCGAGAAATCCATTATGTTCTTTTTATTAATACGAGAAACCCATTATGCTCTTTACTAAATAACCACGTAAATGAAAGAACCATTACTCCCAATACATTATAATATAAAGGTGAGAAATTTTAAGGATAAATAACCGGATTTGAGAATATAATGGGTGAAAGGATTGGAGAACAACCGGATTTGTGAAGGGATTGAGTATAGGATGGTGCAATGACTTAGAATTTATAAGGGGGATAACCATTGGTACTTGGTGAAAGAAGGCTTTGGCATTGAACGGTTCTTGGTGCAATGACTTTGAACGGTTCTTGGTGCAATGACTTTGAACGGTTTAGCATTGAATTCGAGTGGTTTAAAAGTATGCAGGGAAATGCATATCCCAATGATTATTTTTACAAAGATTATAAATAGGGCCTTTATCCACTGTTCGATATAACCTGCCTCAGTCACATCAAATCTTTTCAATTACTATTTACTGTCCCATTAAAATTCGACCAAGTCTATTAGTGGACTAGGTCGACCAAACTAATCCCATTGGAATAGTGGGCAAAAAATTTGACTGAGCAAGAGATAATTTTGGATAGATAACTTTACAGTTTGGCATTGAATTCGGGTAGTTTAAAAGCATGCAGGGAAACTCATATCCCAATAATTATTTTTACGGAGATTATAAGAAGGGCCTTTATACTGTTCGATATAATATTATAACCTGCTTCAGTCACATCAAATCTTTTCAATTACTATTTACTGTCCCATTATTACAGTTGGAAATTTTTTTTAAATAATTAATGAATTGTTACTCCGTATAAGAATATTCTTATAAGAATACAAATGAAGACCATAATACTCCGTATATTTTGTATGCAGAATTCTGTAAAACTATAGGCAAAGAATATTTCGAAATCGACCTATTCCTCAAATTTTATTATTTTGTTTTCGGTCGATCATAGAAACTATTTATGAAATTTGAAAAAAGATCAACTGGAACTCGATGCGACTCTTATTAAAAGGTCGACCACGTTTATTAGTGGGCTTGGTCGACCAAACTAATCACATCAATTCTTCTCAACAACTCCGTACTATTTACTGTCCCAAGAAAATAATAGTTTAAATAATAAGATCATCCACCGTTTATTAATAATATTTACTACGGAGTATTTACTATTTACTTTTTGTCGACCAAGTTTAGTAATGGTTGTCGTCGACATAGAGTGCAAAAACAAGTTTGGTCGACGGAAAAATTCTTTATGAAATTGCTCCAGATAAAAAAATATTCAAAGTTAATACCGACAAAAATATATTTAAGTCATCCAAATATTCAAAGATTTTACAAGTTTAATCGATACAAATTACATTGAATTTTCACTGTCTTCTTCTGCGCTTGAATAAAAGCCGGGAAGGATCTGTGCACCATGGGGACCAAACACCGTGAGGAAATACATGTTACCGATATGATATTGGAAATGCAGGATAAATCCAGACATTAACTGGTATAAATCTACGATGGCCGTCCAACCGTCTCTCAAAAAAGTAGCAGAAGATGTGCGCGAGATGGTGACTCTCATCATAGTAGGGTCCGGACCTGTCACTATAATCAACTCGTTCAAGTTCTCCATGCTGTCTGCAACCAATTCGGGGATGCGCTAGGGAGAGTAATGTGAAAATATAGAACAATAGTTAAAAATCTAATCCGGACGAAATAGAAAAATAGTTAAAAATCTAACTACGTAATAAGATTTTGTTGAAAGACACTTACGAGTCGGGTGCTGAAGAACTCATCTTCCCGCAGCAGAGTAACGAAAGTTTGCGGCATATTTTGAGGCATTTCAGGAGTTGGTCCCGTCGTTCCCTTTCCTGTAAAATTTATGGCTCGGACTAGAGAGAAGATTAATAGCGGATGTTTTTAGGCTTTCAAGTGCGGCCAAAGTTTTTAAAAATGCACAAGATCCCGCTGAGAATCAAAAAGAATTTCTAACATCCCGCCCAAATTTTTGATTTCGGCGGCCAAAGTTTTTCAACACCCCGCCCGGCCAGCCATCTACGGTAAGAATTACTCCCAACATGGTCCTAAATAAAACCATTGAAGCATGAATAAATAACATAATTACGGTTTAAATTACCATAAATACAATAAAAGGGACATGAGTTATCTTCTAAATCTATAATTTTTTAACAAATTTTTTAAATATGTACTTAAATACCGACAAGATAAAAATATAAATCTTTAAAATATTAAAATGACAAATTAAAATAAAATTATTTGTATTAAGTATAGAATATAACTAAATAGATACTCCGTATATATTTTTTATTAATCACAATCAATGAATGATAATGATTGCGTTATAGTTTTATTCGTGGATGTAATTGGTATTATAAATAAAAAAAATATAATAGTAGTCATCGAAATGCTCGGGTAGTTTAGTTGCGGACACCTCTTATTCGGTCATGGTTAGTCAGTGGTTATCGAGTGGCTCGGGTGTCTGACTGGTTGTGGCTATTGGGGTTAGTTTAGTTGCGGACACCTCTTCTTCGGTCATGGGTAGTCAGTGGTCATTGAATACATAGGGTGTCTGACTGGTTGTGGCTATTGCGGTTAGTTTAGTTGCGGACACCTCTTCTTCGGTCATGGGTAGTCAGTGCTCATCGAATACATAGGGTGTCTGACTGGTTGTGGCTATTGCGGTTAGTTTAGTTGCGGACACCTCTTCTTCGGTCATGGGTAGTCAGTTGTCATCGAGAGGCTCGGGTGTCTGACTGGTTGTGGCTATTGCGGTTAGTTTAGTTTAGGACACCTCGACGTAGTTTGTCTATGATTGCGCTTTCGTTCACCAACGGCACAGTTGTGCAACTTGTTGTACTTTTTGATTATAAATCTAGGAGAGTCCTTTACGGAAAATGCACGCATCATCCAACTACAGTTAGCTTTCCTGCAACGCAGAATATATCGAGTTGTATCACTCTTTTCTGTCTTTGTTTCGAAGCAACCAGCAATGGCTACCTCTGTCATTTTCCGCTTTAGATCAGCCTTGCAGGCAAACTCATACCCGACACACAGGTCTGATCCGTCGCCAAATGTTCCATCCGACCCACCTTCGCCATCTACTTCACCGACAGGAAAATCAAAACCATCTGGAAATCGAGTGTAGTGTCCAACCTCTACACCAACATGCTCTTGTGTAGTATTTTTAATTTCAACCTCCACATCAACTTTCTCCTGCGTACTCTTGGGAACCTCTACCTCAACCTCATGATTAGGTTGGGGAGAGTTAGGAGTGCAGTTGGATCCTATGTAATGGAATGTCTCCACATTCGCATTTGGTCCATCATTAAGTACAACCCCATCATGTCCATGCCTTGATCCTTTATCAAATACTAAGTTGCAATCAAAATATTCATCATGGAAGACACAATCATGTTTTTTGCCATTTTGATCTTCCTTTTCATTTTCATCAATTGCATGTTGTTGCTTGACAGTTTCATTTTCAAGCTCTCTTTCCTCGATTTCATTCACCACAACACATAAGCATGTAGAATGTACATCTTTATCCCTCAGGAAACAGCCCAACGCCTTATCACTGGAAATTATGACAAGTGGCTCCCTACCGAACCGAGAAGATTGGTATGAAACCTGAAGTTGATGCTTACTTTGTTGCAATCCAAAGTCCCGATAAATACACATGAGAAGGGCATTGAAGTCTTCATTACTTCTTTCCCACTCGATCACTTGTGTCTTACTTTGCTTGTTTCGTTTAAACTGGATTTCACTTTTCTCATTTTCAACCCAATCACCACCACAATGAATGAACAGAGATAGAAGAGCGCGAGTGTCCATCTGCCTGCAAAAGTGAAATTAAAGATGTAATCGCCTTATTAATGTGAACTTCGACACAATCATAATTCAGAATGTATAATTCAGAATGTGATTGATGAAATTACATGGAAAATTGTCAACATAGACTCCAGAAAATCTAGATATACAAGTCGATCAAATAGCTATTATGTCGACTAAATCAGGTACTGTGGAATTATACATGTAATCGTCTTATTTCGGTCGACTTAATAAACCAAAATAATAAATCCAGAATAAAATAAATCATTATAATGTCGACCTAATAAACCAACTTCATTATGTCGACCCTATGTTTCGACTTTAGAAATCATTGATAATGTCGACTTTGAAATATACTGTAAAAAAATAGATATATGTCGACTCTTCTCCGACTATAGTTAATTATACAATCCTTACTGTAAAATTAGATGAATGTGTACCTACGTTGAAAGAGTCTTTCACCGATTAGTGGAAACAAACAAAAGACGGCGAACAACTGGGAACAAAACAGCGAACAGCGGGACAACTGGGAACAAACAGGAAGCGAAAAACTGGGAAACAGCTCACAACAGCGGCGACCGCTGATAGGCGTCAAAGTATGCAATCGATTGGAATAGAAAACGATGAAAATGGTGCGCCGCCGCAACGAGAATAACGAATTGCTTTGCTAGGGTAGAAACGACGCTCTGCTGCTGCAACGGTATGATAACGATAACGTAGCGAATACAGCTTAGGAGAGAAGGATAAGAAAGTAATTTCACTTTGATAGAAAAGGTAGGTTAATAAATAAAATCCGTTTTAGGATTCAGTTTTTAGGGCATTTTGAAAAACACAGGGTAATTGGGGGTAGAAGGGTAGAGCGCACGCCGCACAGCATAGCAATGGCGAACGCGGAGGTAGAGGCTGTGGACTTCGAGCCCGAGGACGACGATCTGATGGACGAAGACGTCGATGCTTCTCCCAGGGCTCCTATTCCCAGGATCAAGTCCACTATCGGCGACTCGTCTGCTCCTAAGAAAACAAAGGGCCGCGGCTTCCGGGAAGAGGCTGCCGAGGCCGATCGCAATGCTCGTTTGTCTGCTCGCTTCGATTCTCTCGACTCTGATGGCGGCCCTGGTCCTGAAAGATGTCAGTATCTCTCTCTTTCTCTTTCTGATTTTGCAATTGTACCACTGATGATTTCAGCTTCAGGGTTTTAGGTATAGTAATTGCACGGTGAAAAATAGTTTGGCAACTGCTTGTTTTGTTTTCACTGGCTTGTTCTAAAATTGGGTAGGGATTTAGTTTTTACCTGAATACTCTGGCAAAAATTGAACTTGAATTTATTTTTAGAACTGAATATTTGGGGAAAGATTGAATTTTGGATGAATTTTTTAAACCCAGTCTCTGAAAGCAACAAAAATACACAGAAAATGTAAATCTGCTCATACTTCAACTAATTGAACTTCTAAAATCGGACATCACCATAAATCTAGTTCAAGAAAGTTTTTTTCTTCTTGTCACCGCGTCTAGTAGCACTCATCTTTCGGAGAACACTAGACATCTCCTCTCTCTTCCTCTTTGCCCTCTTGGTAG